CCATTTCTCTAGAGTTCCAGGCAAGCCAAAGGGAGGGCTGGCCTGGCGTGTGCTTTTATTATGACCAATAGAAAGTAATTTTCAGCAACTGGAAAATTATATTGTCATAGATTACTTCTCCTTATAGTAAGCCTTTAAAATATCTGCAGGGATTTGTCACATAAAGGTTTGAAAAATACATCAAAGAGACATGTCGCCTTTGCGATATGTAGAAATTCAAATGGTGTTCATTATAATAGCCACCTATCACAAACGTGGATTGTTCTCAAGATTGCCTCTTGGGTTCACACATTTTAGAAATGTTTGAAATGTTATATTTTGTAAAAGCAGTTAAAAACACATATTTAAAGATCTATTTAAATCCTCAATTTGTACGGGGGGGGGCGGGGAGGCGGGAGACGTTTTCCTTGGGATTTCAATGCACTGGATAACTAAAGAAAACCTACACGGTTGATAATCATTGTATATTGCTTTGCTACTCGGGAGAACTTCCTTTAAAAAAAAAAAAACACTATTTAAATTTGAAAAGGGTTGACTCTGAAAAGAGAAAATGGCTTGGAATGGTTTTTAAACTTATGTCTGTTTACCTCAACTCTAGCAGTGGAAGTTTAGGGCACATTTATAACGAAACATTAAAAAATGAAAGGTCCACTTTACTCTTAGCCTTTTTAATAAATAATTTAGTGCAATTTTAAATGACCCTAAAACTCAGGCGGGTTTCGCGCGCGGCCGCTGCATTCCTGTGTTTTGTGAGATTTTTTTTTTTTTCCAAGTGGTTTGCACCGCGCCGAGTCCCCAGATAACTGATAAACGCGTGCAGAGCGCAGCCCGCAGGAGCTCCGCGGCCCGCGAAGGGGTGCAGGCAGGCGCCCCCTGGACTCCAGGCAGCGCGGACAGGCTCCAGTCCTCGCCCTCCGCTCCGCCCCTCCCCTCCTGCCTCGCATCAGACAAAGGTGGATGAAGTTCTTTTCAAGTTTCAAAGGCAGTGGCTGGGCAGCTTTGCAGAAACAATAACTCTTTTATTGGGAACAAATGTTGACATTTGACGGGCGCGGGAGGCAGCGGCCGCCGGGCATGCGCTCCTGGTGCTCTCGGCAGCGCAGGGCCTCCTGGCCCACCTGAGATTAAAGCGCGAATTCCGATAAATCAGCTCTAATGAACCCCGGACTGCAGAGGGCAGAGGGGCCACGGAGCGGGGAGTGTGACCAGGCCCGCACCCAGCGGCTTGCGTGGCACCGGGTCCCTCGTGTGCCCGCCTCCCGGAACAACTGCACGGTATGGCTGGCGACTGTATTTTTAATTAACTACATTTTAAAGCAAAAATAAAATTAGACCCCATTAATCCTTCCCCAATGAAAGATGCCTCCTCACCCCCACCTCCCTTCATCTTAACTAAAGATCTGTATGGCGAAGAGCTCATAAATCACTCTGCATTTCTTTAAAAAAAAGATCCCTTTAAACACCTGCAGGTTTTATGTTCTTAGCGTACATTTTTAAAAATCAAGTTCTCCAGGAAGAAATCCAGGTCAGGAGGCAGGGTGGGTAAGTTATGAAAATCTCTGATAATTTGTTGGGCATATAAACATCAAAGAAGATTCGTTAGTCTGGGCTAATCTCCTGAGCTGCTCTGAGTTTTCACCAATTGAAAGGTGCAGTTGTCCCTGAGAATGGGGTCTGTCTGGGGTGTGTGCCTGTGTGGGGGGATGTATCACATGTCCAGGTAACACAATCTTCTGTTCCAAAGGGAGGCAGCTTTTATCCAGGCTACAATTTCTGAACATATGCACGGAGATCAATTTTTGCTGGGGTTTTCTACTTGCACTCGCCACCCTTTAGGAGATGGAGTGTCTCCAGTATCTTAATGAGGCTGTATGGTCTCTCAGTGTTTAATTTGTTAAATATCATTTAATAACTTTCATCCTTTTCACTGCCATCTTCAAAATGCTCAACTTAGAATAATACATAAAGCAGGGATATTGTCGCCATGTGTGTTGTATTCCCCGCTGATTTAGGAAAAGATGGCTAATATTAAAAGCCAACGATTTATCAGCTTCATATTGAAATCTAAAAATGCTATCTGCAGGGGGGGGGGATCATTATCTTCACAGAAATTCTATGGGGTTTTCTGTCTCAAACAAAAACAAGCAAAGACGCCCCAGCAGCTCCCTGTTACTTCCACAGATAGGCATTTGTTTTCCTCCAGACACACTGCCCCAGTGGCCAGGCACCCACGTGAACAACCTTCCTGTCCCTGAGAGAGCTCAGCTTCAAACCTCTCCTCATCTGTTATTGGGAAGGCAGAAAGGAGAGAAAGAGTTCTGGATCCCAAATAGTCACGTTAAGTCTAACCTCCAAAGGGTTATGTATCCAAAGCCAACAAATGCCTAACAAGTCACAGAAAATCGAAAACTAAATCTGCTCCTTTCCTCCACAAACCACAACCGCTCTTCCCACGGCCCAGTCAGTGTCCAGTTCACAGCCTCCTAGCTTTGCCTCAAGTACCTAAGATTACTTTCAAATACCCTTCCTAACAAGACCCCAGCAAGAGGCCACTAATTTCTACAGCACAAAAAGCCACTGGAGAGAGATCCGTTTGTCAATATCAACCGGTCCAGCAATTTCCCATCCTCAGACACATGGGCCTATCTGAGCTGGCAGATGTTTAGACAAGATTTTATAAATTGTTCAATATCAGCCCATAATGAACCCCAACTGACCATTCCAAAGCAGCTAAAAGCACCCGGGACATCCCCCGCTGGGAAGCAATAATGTGCTCATGCTGCAGCATTATTAATCACGGAATAAAATAGATGAACCTCTTGAAAAATAAGTGTATGATTGATTAAAGGGCAATCTGAGGAGCTATTATTCTTGTTTTATAACCGTAAGTTATATTCACTCAATTTATCTTTGCAGGGGAAATAAATGATTGTTCATTTCTTTTCTGAAATTATATTATATGGATATCCATATAATGTTGCTGAAAATTAAAGTGACAGGTTTCCTGCTTTTATGATACTAATCAAAGGAAATATGTTACTTGCCTACAAATTCTAGACTTGTCCTATAATTAGATAGTGAGTAACACAATAATGAGGCAATAGTCTAAGGGTGTTTAAGCTTTTCTTTTCCCCCAGGGCAAGGGTGAGAGCCACTGAGAGGAAAATAAATCTCTCCTCCCAGTTTTCACCTTGTGTTTAATGTGAGTTATACAAAAAGGAGAGTTAAGAAATCATTCAGTAAATCTGAATAATCTATGCCAATTTGGATAATGTAGGCTTTAAAGATATTTAGAATAAATAGTCATTTCCATCTAATTTATGGTAGGGGTGTAACTCTTTATTACCCATGTTACCACAATTTTCCAAATTACTGAGGAGGTAATAAATAAATATTAAATGGATCCTAAGGTTCAGGGGTATCATGTCATTTTATTTTGCCAAGCTTAAAAAAAAAAATTTACACTAACAAGTATTTTGCATATTCAGAGAACAAAGTTTTAATTTTCTTGCAATACATGTGTATGTAAATAATCTAAAAATCACAGGTATCTCCCTACTGCTTATTTCTCTTCCATCTGCCTTTTTTTTTTTTTTTTTTATGAGCAGAAAGTGGAGGTTATTTTACACATTATCTTTAAAAAGCCTGAGGTCAGATCACCGGGGGTGGGGACTGCTGTCACCACTATCACTGGGGCTCTCTACCCAGAGCACTCTTTTAAGAAAAAGGAGCCCCAAACACCATATTGCTGTAGTCTAGTCTGTTTTTATTTACAATTTAAGATATAAATTAGTAAAGAATTATTGTTAAACAACCAACAAAGATTGTATAACCAGCAATGTTCAAATAAAAACCAGGCAGAATTTATTTACAAAAAGTTTAGATTCCATTGCAATACAACTTGCATAAATTACTAGAAGCTTTATATCATTATAAAAATAAATATCAAATTTGTTTCCACTTTTTAAGTACTCAAGTTCTTCAATCACGTTTTATTTCTACTGTGTACATCTTTTACAAATAAATTTTACAGTAAATCCTATCACACCTATAGCATATATACCGTGGCAATGAAGTGATCAATTCAAGATATCCTGAGAAAAAAGATTGTTTTCAAAAAGTCACACATACATTGGGGAAGCTATACTAATGCCAACAAATTCACGTTTATCCAACAAAAGTCTGTTCGGTTCGGTTAGTCTGAGTTGACAGTGCTCTGTGGCTCCTTCCTTTACAGTGGCACGAGATGCGGTCCGGGTGAGCGCGGCTTTTTACGTCTGTGTATTTATGAACTTGGGAAGAAAGAATGGCCTGCTGACTTTTTTTTTTTTTTCCAAAGCAATTGTGACACCTACCTGTGGACCAAGGAAAAAACCAAATCATCCCAAATCCTTCAATTCCATACCAACATCATCCCATTATATAAAAATAAAAATAAAAAAAGGACTTATTTGAAAGGGTTCGGCCTCTTTCCCATGTTTAAGAAGTGAAATAAGTAATTCTGCCTATTTGTAAAATAGGCATTTCCATCTGGACTGGGGGGTGGGGGGAAGCAGGATGGGCCTGATAACAGAGGAGTGCTTCTTGTCTCTCAGTTTTACTATGCAAACATCATCTAGAAAAGGTTTCTGATACCAAGTCTCAGTAACACTCGCTCATTAAAGCCAAGTGTCTATTCCGTGTCTAGTGGAGCAAAAGCACTCCGTATTGCAACAATTCCCGGACTGAGAAAACAGCATACATATATACTTAGAGAGTGATTCTTCAAAGCAGAACTTGAGCAGAAAAAGAGGGACTCGATAAAAGAAAACTACTCCTCTCCCACTTAAAGGGAAAAAAAGACCAAGAAGATTGCAATGCTGTTTTCAGACCCCATGACAAGAAGCAAGAAATGGACATTAAGGAAGTTTTCAGAGCAATTGGTGCAGGGAGGATCCCCCAGCGTGGGCAGAAACACCAGGGGGCCCACTTACTTGTATTGCTGTACACACATGGCCCTTCTATAGGTAGGACTGGATGCCCCCACCAACCACGGTGCAGCCCTCACTGGCATCTGTCAGGGGGAGGGGGCAGTTAGTCAGAACCAACCCCATAGCCCATCTATCTTCCAGACACCACAAAGCCACCAGCCTGCACACCCAGGAAGCCTGCTCCCTGTTTGGGGCAAACAGTGATAGGAGCCTGAGTGTCCACCACCAGTGTCAGAGGTAGATTTTGGTCACATTTCTGAGTTCTCATTTTTTACCCCCTTGAGCTCCTTTTACAGGTCTTATCAGCTCAAGTCTGAATTATGAGCAACAGAGGATATAAAGGGAGAGGAAGGAATAAAGCTCTGGTTTTCCATTTTGAAGAACTAAGGCCTCTGGGAATAAACTGGAACGTTTTGTTTCCTTCCAGCCAAAGGCAGAAGGAGCGACTGTTAACAACAGAACACACCAAAGCCGAAGCCCAGACAAACTACAATTCGAATTTCGTGGCAGTCTGTGTTTGGCAAAAACTAAAACTCACTGTCCTGACCATCATAAGAAATAAATACTAAGTAAATAGTAAATAATAATGAGGTGGGTCTCATTGCAAGGCAGGGATCCCTTGGTCCTTCCCATCTCCTTTTGGAGTCGTCACCCCTGCCTGCCTTCACTTCTCCCAACTTTTAGTCAAAGGGTGGTGCATTATGTGTTTTTCCTCTCTCTTCTAAGTGACAAAGGTTCCCCCTGCACATCCACAGGTTTCCCAGCCCTTTCCCCCCGGTCGCTTGGGAGTGCTGACAACCCGGGCCCTGCTGGCTGTCCCTCCCAGAGGACTCGGGGCCCCAGCAGCCTACCTTTCTTGGGCTCATAGCTGCCGCCCGGGGGCCGGTAATGGGGCTCCAGCGGGTGCGCGCCTGCCTTGCCCGCGTCGCTGGCCGCCTTGGGCGCCGCGTGCAGAGCCTCTCCGGGGCCCGAGGCCGCCGCGTTGTACCGCAGGAGCCCCTGGCCCTGCAGCGCGGCGTTCAAGTTCCCGTAGTTTGTGTAGTTGCCATAGAAGGGCGACGTGTAGTAGAGGTGGCGGCCGAGCAGTGGGGACGCGGGGTAGGGAGAGCCTCCGGGCGGCGCCCCCGACGAGGCCGGCGCTGCGGCCGTGGGCAGCCCTGGCGGCGCGCAGCCAGGACCCGCGCTCGGCTGCTTGAGGTCCGACGTGGCGATCTCGGCCAGAGACCACAGCTTGGGCTTGCTGGCGGGCGGCGGCGCGCCCGGCGACGTCCGGTTGCCCAGGGGGGTCTTGCCACCACCGCCGCTGCCGCCGCCACCTCGGGGCGCGGCCTCGGGCGGGGGGCTCAGCAAAGGCGCCTCCACGCCGGTGAGCGGTGACGAGGTCACGGCTTTGGATGGCGCCAGGTCCCGCTCTCCCTCCTCCTCCTCCTCATCCTCCTCGTCGTCCTCCAGGTCGTCGTACTTGTCCTTGCACTCTGAGCCCGATTCGCACAAGGGGTCCCCGGCGCGGCAAGGCAGCTTCTCCCCGTCCGACTCCGCAGAGCAGGAGTGATCCGTGAGCGAGTCCACGTGCAGGCTGATCCCTGCAGGGACGCGGGCAACGTCTGGGGCGTGTGGGGCAGCCCAGGCCACCGGGAACCCCTCTGCCCCACGTCCCAGTGTACCAGGCTTTCCCCATAATATTCCTCACCTCCACCCAGAACCTACCAAGGCCTATGGTGTGAGCACGGCCTCCCTGAAAAGCACCCGAGGAACCTCTGGGCCCTCTAGCTGGCAGGCCCCCTCCTGCTAGAAGGCCTGCAGCCTCCTCCCCTCTCCCTCCGCTCTGGCCCCGCCTGGGAAGAAAAACTCCCCGAGACTCCCAGCCCGCCAGGCCTCGCTCACCTTCGTCCTCCGCGGAGGTCTCAGTGCCCTCCTGCGCTTTCTCCAGGCTCTCCTTGCCCCTGGCCGCGTCCCCCTCCTCCTCGTCCTCATCCTCGCTTTTGTTCCTCGGGGCCCACGTCATCTTGTTCTCCTTCTTGAGGCGCCGGCGCGCGTTGGCGAACCAGGTGGAGACCTGCGTGAGGGTCATCTTGGTGATGATGGCCAGCATGATCTTCTCGCCCTTGGTGGGGTAGGGGTTCTTGCGGTGCTCGTTGAGCCAGGCCTTGAGCGTGGCCGTGGCGTCCCGCGTGGCGTTCTTGCGGTACGCGGGGTCGTTGAGCTGGTACGGGTAGGCCGCGCTGCCATACGGGTGGTAGCTGATGGCGCCAGTCATCCCGGTCGTGTGCGCGTCGTAGGGCGCGCCCTGGAACCGACAAGAGCCTGGGTGAGTGGGGTGCGCGGGGACCTGGCAAAGCAACCCCCAAAGGCAACCAACCCACCCCTTGGCCCGCCCGTGGCCGCCTTTCCCACGGTGAGTCTCCCGCGGGGGAGCCTCGCTTCCCGCAGCAGCAGACAAGAAACAAAAAGAAACAAAACAAAAACAAAAGCAAAAAAATCGCAGCGGGTTATGAAGGCCAGCTGTTGATCACAAAAAGCGCCGCAGTTTTATTCCCAAATTTTTTAACGATTTCACTTTCCTAAAATGGTCTATCTCCCTCTGCAATTCCCTGGGCCGCGAGTATGGACGCACGCAAGCACGCAGGGCCGAAGGTAGTTTCTTGATATCTAAATTTTTTTTCTGGATTCTCAAGCACCGAAACCTCCCCCATTATCCCGCCCTTATATGGTTAAAAAATCACCCCAGCCCCTGCTCCGCCATTCACCAGTCCAAAGCTCCGCAAATCCAATTTGCAACTCAGAAGCCAGTCACCGTTTCGAATGCTTCAAATACGCGGCAATTAGCATTTTAATTCAGACTTTAACGTTTACATTGGAGGCTTTTTTTTTTTTTTTTTTTTTTTTTTTTTTTTTTTGCAGCCTTCACCAAGGTCCCTGCTCCTCGGGGCGCTGGCCTGGAATTCCACCTAGGGCGGGCGGTGTCGACCTAAAAGCTATCATCGGCCGAAACGCACTCCGCCTCCGGGCCCAGGAGCAAACCCAAGGCGCGCGGACCAACCCCGGGTGCGCGGGCAGGAGCTGCTTTCGGTGCCCGGGGAACCGAGAGGTACTTGGCGGGCCACAGGCCCGCGGACACATTTATTCCGAAAGCACAGCCTTCGAGATAGTTTAAGAACCAGACCACGTCGGGCTGGGCCGGGCCCCAGAGACCCCGGCGGATGTTTCGCCCCTCCCCCAACCCAGAGACCCCCCCTCCCCCTCCCCTCCAAGCCCGGCAAGTAACTAAGCGCCCGCAGCCACCCCGGAGGTGCTAGTGGCACTGACCCTCGCTCCCCGCGCCCACAGAAGCCAGCCCCGAGCCCGCTCTGGACCCCTCGCCAAGCTTCGGTGCCCGAGCTAAGGACAAATCACAACAGATCCCATCACCGGCCGGCATGCTCGCACTTCCAGGCTCTTTGGGAAGTAGCCTAAGGAAGGCGGCGCGGGACGCGGGTCCCAGCCGGGCTCAGGCACGTCGCCTGCCGGCCGCGTCGCCTCTCCCCCTGGACTTTTGTCCCGCCGGCGGCAGAGCAGCCCGAGCCGGCGACGCCGGAGCCACCGCCCACGGCACGTTCCCCGCGTCCCCGTTCGTTCGCGGACCCCCAGGCCCGCTCGACTACGCTCCAATCGGAGGTCCCCACGCCAGGTGTCCCGCGTCCCCGCCCGCCCGAGCGGTTACCATGTAGGACGGGAAGCCGGCGGCGGCGGCGGCGGCGTCGGCCGAGTACTGCAGCGGGCTGCCGAAGCCGGTGGCCGCCTGCGCCGTGAAGGCCGCCGAGCCCGGGTAAGGGCTGAACGCGGAGCCCGACGCCGAGCGCGCCAGCTCCTCGCTCCGCGGCGCCGCCAGGGCCGACGCGCCGTACGCCGGGCACGAGTACAGCGCCAGCGAGCCGGGCGCCTGGTACAGGTAGCCCTGCGGGTAGGACATGGTGGGCGCGGGGCCCGCGTCACGCCGAGCAGCGGGCAGGGCTCACGGAGCCCTCCATCCACGCCCGGCCGGGGCGCGGCGCGGCGGCGGGCGCGGGGGCCGCGGGGGCCGCGGGCCGAGGTCGGTCGGCCCGGGCACTAGCCGGGGCCCACAGGCCGGGGGAGCTGCGGGGCGGCGGCGGAGACGGTGGAGGCGGCGGCGGCAGCGCGGAGCCGGTGGGCGCAGCCGCGCGCCAGGCCGGCGGTCGGGGTTTGGGGGAATCTGAAGTCGGGAGTGAGGAGTTGAGGAAGGAGCGCTCGAGTTTCCGAGGGACATTGGAACGCCGAGCTGTCCGTCACGCGCTCATCTGCATATTCGGGCGCCCGCCCTCTCCCCGGCCCCGCCTGCTAGGCCTCCTCCAGCGCCCCGGCCGCAGCTGGGGGAGGAGCTGGGAGCCGGGTGGGGAGGAGAAGGGAGGGGAGAAAGGGGAGGAGGGGGGAGGCGGAGAGGGAGGCGGGAGCGGGGAGAAAGGAGGAGGGAGAGACACGAAGGCTTTTGTGGCATAGTCGCCTCTCGCGCAGCCCCAGCCCGCGGCCGGCAGCCCGCAACCTGGAAGGACAGAACAGCGCGCACCCACTTCTACTCGCACGTACTCCCAGCCCCCCTCCCCACGCCCGCCCTAGCCCCCCTTCTTACCCCACCCCTGCCATCCTGTCCCAATCCAGCCACTGGCCCGCCCCGCCAGATCAGCTCGAAATGATTAGGCTAGAGGCCGCCTGCATTCTGGCCAGGCTGGTCCGCTTAGGGGGACGAAGGGCCTGAGCCCCTCTCTTCACCGGGAATAGGCCCACCCAGGTGACTTCCCTCAAGACCCCAGTGTCCCAGCGGACAGCTTACGGGGCGATGGGGGGCGCTAGATGGTGGCACCGGCGGCCCGAATCTTCCTGCGGGTGGCGTGCGCGGCTCTAACTTGCACCTTGCTGGGTCTACTGTGCCTCACTGTGGGAGGCGCCCCGCGTGGCCTCGAGTCTGGTCGCCTACCCCGCGCCGACCAGCGTGTCCCCGTGGTACCCGGATCCGGGGCGCTTTCGTTGCGAGTTGCCAGCCAGGAGAGCCTAGAGGTGAGCTTTCTGCCCCTGAAGTCCTTGATTAAGACTAGGTCCCTGCGTGTTAGCACTTTGGGATGGGAACGTTTTGTCACTCGCTGCCAGTGCTTCACCATCGAAGGGGGTTTATTTTGTCTTAATAACTTGAGTTCTCTTTCGGCCTTGTGTTGTAAAACACGCAGGGGGATGACTGTCACTGGATAGACGACCTTCTCTGAGAGGACAGGAAGCCTCACTGTCACTTGGGCAGGAAGGAGCGGCAGCGCAGGTAGATCAGGTAACACAGGGCTCCATCCAGAAGAGCCTCGTGGAGCCCGAGAGAGGCTTAGCGAGGGACCGCAGCCTCCGACAAAACCCACTTCCCATCCCTCTTCTACCCTTTTCCCACCGGGGTCCCTCAAAAGAGGAGGCCAGGAATCACCGAAGGGCACTTCCAGGTGCTCCACACGGAACCGGTGTGTGCAGGCCTGAAGGTCGGCGCCCACCCAACAGGTGCCTCTTCCTCGGGGCCATCTCGGGTGGGTGACTGGGAGGGGGGAGCACCTTAGGCGGGAGCTCAGGCCTGCAGCTCCCCTCCTCCCACACCGCTTCCGCCCCACCCCAGCCCTGTTGGCTCTGCAGCTTTCGCAAGGGCCTCTTTTATCGGATCTGAGTATCCTTGGGACTCAGAGTCGCTCTGGCGCAGAGCAAGTCTGCTATGCACGATCGATAGGCTCCAGTCGCCACCAGAACCTTGAAGGCACAGGCAGAGTTGGATCGCCATCGGATCCGAGGGAACCAATTGCAGATTGTCCTCCTTGGCCCGTAGGCTTGTGGCTTCTGTTAGGTACGGACCAGGCAGTTATACCAGCTCCTTCCTCTGCTAACCCCCAACCCATTGGTCCTTCTTCAGCCCCCCATTGCTCCCCAAGCCAGTACTACAAACCACAGCCCTGCCCCCTTTACCCATCAATCTTCACTTTACCCTCTAGCTCTGCACCCCCACCCCCCTCCCTCCTTCTCCACACACACCACTTCCCACGCACTTCAGGCCACTGCAAGAACCCAGCAGGGGCGCGGTCCAACAATGCTTCCACCCCAAGTAGGACCTCCGAGTCCAGTGCAGGGCCAATATTTTATATCAATTATTGTAAAGTGAAAAAGGAAAGAGAAAGGGAGCCCGAGAGAGGCCCCAGCCACCCTGTGGAGCATGCCTGCGACTGGATCTATGACATTTTTGGTCTTTCTAAAGGGAATTCAGCCAGGGAGGAGCCTTAAATGAGTCGCACACACTTGGAGGACAAGCACTGGCAGCAACAGATCAGATTGCAGCCATTCAATTTGCTTCCAATTAAACAGTTTAAGTGTAGAAAATCAGGTCTAACTTTTTATCTTCTCAAAAGACAGGTCTTGAGAGAATTTCCATTTCTAAAGACCAATTCCTGCTGTGGTTTCATTAGCATTTGGGGCTGCCCCCCCCCCATCCTCTTTCCCCCCCCTCCATCTCTGCCTCCGGGCGGAAAAGAAAACAGCGAATTATTACAAAAACATCCCCAGTTTGGAGCAGGAGCTTAAGCTGGGAATACAGTTGATTTTGACATCAATTAAATACCTAACCAGACAAGTGCACGTGGTTTTCGAGGGTCTCTCCGTCACCCAGGCTGAGTCTCCAGAAAACATTGCCTGCTCCCACTCTGCTTAGTGCTGCTGATTCTAAAGACAGCCTCTTCCTGAGTGTATTTTCCCCCCAGCAATTACACTCCTCCACCGAAATCTAAATTTTCCATACTGCTGCCTGCTACTAATAAAAACCGTCTACCTTGCACTATTAAACAGTCGAATCGCACTACATGCCGTTTTTATTGGTAGTGACTGTAGCAAATTAAAATGCCTACGCAGAGACATTAAAACTCACGGTCTGCATTGTTACTGGAATGTAACTCGGTTTCGATTTAAAGCTCCCTGATTTTGTAAAATGACTTTTCCGTTTCTTAGATTAAAGTTGGCTTGGCTTTCTCTTTTTTGAAAAATCAACCGAAAAGACATGCTGCGGCAAGTGTCCGGGTCAGACTCAGTGGCTCCTAGCACGCCCACCTGCGACGGTGGCCTGGACTCGCTCGAACTGCGTGTCCAGTCACTGCGGGGAGCGCTGCTCCGGCGAGCGGGGGCCTGGACGCATCCCTTGTGGGCGCAGAGGGATTTGAGAGCATAGGACGGTCTGGTACTCAGCTACTGCTTCTTTCCAGTTGCCTTTGGAGCTGGAATGGGAGAAATCGGGCGGCCAAGAGGGGCAAACCTAGGAACTCCCTTGAGAGCTCCAGCTTTTACAGTTGCGTGGGTCATGTGCACCTCCAGGTTTAGGATGTGTCCTCCGCTCCCCCGTGAATGCATTTTAAAGCAAGAGTTTAACTTGGTCACGTTTTTGTTTCTTGTCCCCACAGTGGTCGCTGCACTTAGGACAAGGCGGCATGGACGTGCGCGTTTCAAGAAGCCGAGTTCCCCACGGAGTCCAAGCGCTGAGAAATGCCAGAAACGCAGCCAGGGCTTCAGGGCCAACCGGCAAAGTGGCAGTCGCGGGCCCAGGTTCTCTGCAGACGCGGACCTTCCCCGCTTGTCTGGCCAAGGGGAGGCCGGCGGCGCGGGCCCGAAGTCGTGCGCGCGGGCGGCGAGGGGGCGCTGTGGCCCGTGGCTGAGGCCTCGTCCCTGCTGCGGTGGCCCCAGCAACTTTCCAGGCTACCGACGGGACGGGCGGTGGGCGCCCCTGCCCTGGCGAGCGACCTACCCGTTTCCACTTAGGTTTAATTCGAGGAGGAACAATTATATCAGGCATTCCAATAAAACTTACTCCGCATACGATCTTTGTCTTATTGCCCTAACCTTCGCTGGACTTTTTGTAAGTTTGGTGAATATTTGAGATCCTGTAATTTTCGTTTTTTGTTTTTCTTGTCAATTAAGATGAATACATAGCTCAGCTGATGTGGCTTAGTAGTTGAGTGTAGATCCACGCACCAAGAGGTCACCGGTGGGATTCCAGGTCAGGGCACATGTCTGGCTTGTAGGAGGGCTCCTTCCCCAGTACCTGGCTTGCAGGAGGCAGCCCATCAATGTTTCTATCTCTTTCTCCCCCCCACCCCTCTCTCTCAAAAAATCAATAAAAGCTTTTTTTTATTGTTTAAAACATTACATGTGTCTCCTTTCCCCCCAGTTGTCTTCTTTTCCACCACTAATAAAAGCATTTTTTAAAGAGATGAATGCATAGATTTCACATGGGTTACCCTTCATGAGTAACATTTAAGAGTAATTTCAATGTATCAAATTGACTGCATTCCCAATGAAGGCCCCTTTGGTCCCGAGATCCTCCTAGCTGTTTGTAGAGGGCTTGACAGCAAGAAAGAAAAGGCAAGGAAAGTGAAAAGTGTGGTTCTGCAATTTCCTTTCTCTCTCTCTCTCCCCGAAGTTTGTGGTTATAAATTGTACAAAATTTAAGTCCAAATGAAAAGTTTCTTTCAAGCATGGCATTCCTCACTCTTGGCATCCCCTGAGCATATTTTTTAGGGGTTTCAACACAGTGGTATTCCCAGAGTCATGCTGCAGCAAGCGCCTGGAAAACTTGTTCAGAGGGGACACCCTCCCTCCTCCCCACCAACATGCTGTGAGCCCTCTCCTCCCCCCCCCCCCCCCCCGCTCCTTCCTGGAACCCCAAAGGGGGGCCTAGCTGAGAGGTTTTTAAAGGGCCCCGAAGGCCTGAGTCCTTCAGGGAGTGCAGAGGGCCTTTCGAGGGGACCCAGAGCTGCGGAGGCTGGAGAAGTGTCGGGGCGCCGGGACCCTGGACACCAGGCGCGCTCCTTTAGGTTATAAGACCAGCATCCTCACTTCCAGGGCTCCTCCCCATTTAACTGACTGTAGCTCGTAATTACTGTGATTTCTCTTCCTCGCTGATTCCTACCGGTTTCTTTAGTGGGCAGCACCCTCCCAGCCTCTTCTCAGACGATCGCCTCCGACTTGTATCCTGAAGGTTCTCTCCCCGCTGCGCCCAGAGAATCCTCATCTCGCCTTTTCTCTGCATCTCCAGGACTGTCTCCCTGTCCTCTCACTTCGCCCTTCTCCTCCTCCTGTCGCTCCTCTCCTCGCCCCTTAACCGAGTTTCCCTACCCCGAGCTCCCCGGTCCTCGTGGGAGCCCCGGGAGAGGGAGAAAGGGGGGCCGGCGGGCCGGGTCTGGACAGGCCAGACTTCTTTTACGGGATCGGAGTCTTAGGAGACACGTTTCCCCAGCGGCGGCGAAGACCTGAGCGCCCTGTTCTTGGTCTGCGGCTGTTTGGAAGGAGAAAAGTTAGAGGTGCTCAGCCTTTCCACTTGCACACCCGACACTTGGGCAGGCCCGGACCCCCGACAGAGCGACAGACACAGGCGCGCGCCGCTTCCAGGAGAGGTCCGCGCGGCGCCGCTGCAGCTATTCCCGGCGAGTGGAAACAGATGAAGAGTTGTGAGGTTCTTTCTTTTTCTTTTTTTAAAAGTGTTTCTGCAAGACAATCTTTGGAAGAACTTAGCTCACCTCCGTATCCCCCGCCTTTCTGGCAGCTGCTGCTCCGAGGTGACCGAGGTGACTTTCGGGTGTGAGCGCCCAGGAGGCCCCGGGGGCCGCGGGAGGCGGCTCTGCCCCGGCGGCGGGAGCAGGTAGGACTCCTAGCTCGCAAGAAAACATTGGAGAAGGAAGATTTCCTCCAGTCTTTCGACAATTGCGTTCATCAAACAAGCGAGCGTTTGTCTGAGGCCATGTTTCCCATCCTTCGGCAAAACCCTGGTTCGGTTTGAGCCCCGCAGACCGCCAATTCTGCAGCGTGTGGTCGCGCGTGCTTGCCCCCTTCCCCTTCCCTAACCCGCTGGCACACTCCGGTCACACCAGAGATTGTGTAGATAAGGAAAGGGTATGGTGTGGTGTTCCCCCCCCCCCTTTTTTTTAAAAAAAAAAAATATAAGGGGAGGCAGAAAGAAAACTTTGACAAATTTCATCGTATTTAAAGTAAAAACTCAAGTTAAACAGAAAATAAGTTACAGAAACCGACTCTGAGAGAGGACATATGCAGCACTTATAAATGCCAAAGACTGCTGGGCAGAGTCTCGGAGAATTCTGACAGTCTGTGAAGACAAGACCCTGGATGGAAAATGGGCCAGGGACAGGCACAGACCCTCTGCCTTAGCTGCACACACTCACTAGTGGTGGGGAAGTTTCCAGACAATATGCAAGATGCCACTCTACACCCGCTCGCTTGCTGACATCAACCTGGTCCTGGTCCCGGTCCGGTGTGCAGAGCCAGGCAGCTCTCTCCAGGACTGCACTAATTTGAATGGCCATAAAGAAGTTGGGAAGACGTGTGGCAACAAACGAAAGATCAGGAGATGCTCGCATCCTGTCACCCTGCAACTCCTGGGCTCATTGTCCTCCGCGGAGGAAATGCCAGGCACAGTGCCTACAGCATTGTGTGCAAAGTGCAAGACTGGACACCTCCTGAATGGCAATCAGGAGAGGCCTGAGTGAAGAATGGGGTCCATTGCTTGCAGCAGAATGTTCCCCGGGGCGGAGAGTGAGGGAAGTAGCTCCACTTGTATCAACACGAATAAGTCCTGAGAGAGTAAATTTGGGTGGGAAAAATAATAAAGAAAAAGAAGGACGCAGAGAGGATTGGTGCTGATGATGGAGGTGCACAAACAATGCTGTGCTATTTGCAGGTGCGGGGGAGGGGGCTGTCCTAAGAAGTAGAAGGACCTTCTCCCCCTTTGGGCACACTGAGGGCCCTTGAGGGGGTTGTAGGGAGGGGGGGTTGTCAGTTTCATTTGTAATACTTTATTGCTGAGAAATAGACCTGAAATATATGACAAAAATGGTAATGATTATTAAACGTGTTTGATGATTACTTGGGCTTATGCCATTCTACATATTTCTAGTGTGTGAAATATTTTGTCTTGAAGATTAAAACAAAAAATAAGTATTGGCATTTGAAAAGAGTGTCCTAGGACAGAAGTCTAATCTAATTTAGGAGTTCTTTCTTTAAAACAAAAAAAATCTTAAAAGTTTGCATTCTTCATCTCTTTCTTCCTCCTTCTGTTACCCCATCCTTCAAAAAACATAAACAGTATCCTGGATCTGCAGTCTAGACCGTTACACTCATAGTCTCATATGTGCATGTCCTTGTGCCATGATTCAAAGCATGGCAGGAAGAGACAAGTGTCCTGGGCAGAGTGCAGGGGCTGCTCACTCCACTCTTTTCATGGAGGACACACAGAGGCTCCTGGAAGAGAAGGACAGTGCTGTTTGCAGCCAGGCCTCCCGTGGGCTACCTGCCTTTATTCTGTTAGAATTCTGCACCTTCTCTTTATATTACAGTAAACATTTTATGCATGTAAATCAAGATTAGAAAGAGGGGCTGTGGAAAGACAGGAAAGGAAAAAGGCTGAGAAGAGGGGCAGAACACAGTCTGGGAAGGAAAAGAAAATGGAGGCAGGGGTGAAGGAGGAGGACTCGAGGTTTGTGGTAGATCCTCCCCTCACACCTCCTCTCTCTCAGAATAAAAGGCCAAGCCTTTTGACCTCTTAGCACTTTTTAGAACCAATTCACTCTCTGCCCTCATCCTCCCCACTGCAGCTGGAGAAATCCTGAACTTTAAATACAATTCTATTTGAAGGCCTTGCACAGAGGAAGAGGCCTCAAGGCCCAGTCCTGCAGCCAAGCCTCATTACATGGCTACATGGTCCCTGTGGGCCATTCTGTTCCTTAACCTGTTCAGAGCCAGGCTGAAAGAAGAGCATTATTGCTTCTGCCAGTGGCTAAGGAATCTTTCTACCCTATTTCAAGACATTATGTGGCTCCAGGATTTAAGAGAGTGTAGTGCAATATTGGTGGAGGGACAGATATGTAGAGCATTGGAACAGAAGCCAGTCCAGAAAGTTAGTTTTCTTGACAATTAAACTTCCATAAGAAAAAAAAAAATCCCACAAAAATATCTCAATCCAAATTTTATATCTTATATGATAATCGACTAAAAATAGGTCACAGACTTAAATGTAAAAATTTAAAACTTTTAGAAAAATATAGGAGAAAATCTTCAAAATCTAGGCCTAGACAAAGTATTCTTAAGACCAGACACCAAAAGCTTAGTCCCTAAAAGGAAAGCTTGATAAATTGTATTTCATCCAAATTTAAAACTTTTGCTTTGTGAAAGATCCTGTTAAGAGAATGAAAAAAAAAAAAAAAAAAGTGTAGCAGACTGAGAGGAAATATTTGCAAACCCTAGATACTAGCAAAGGACTAGTATCTAGAATATATAAAGAATATTCCTCAACAAAACAAGACAACCAAAACAGTCCAATTAGAATTTGGGCAAAAGTCACAAAAAGCAATTTCACCAAAAAAGGATATACAGAGGGTAAATAAGCATATAAAATGATTTTTTAACATCAT